TTCGCCCCCCCCCCCCCCTGCCTCTAGCAGAATAAGTCATCAAGTTCCCACGTGAGACCCCTCTTAGCTTCTAATAACAAAAGGCCTGTATCACTGGAGGATGACAAAGCAAACAAACGGACATAATTAGGGGGGTCGATAAGGAAATTATAAGGAAATGGAGTCATTAATGGTAATATTTGTGTTATGAGATGATAGTTTGTGGCAAAAATTCATTTCCAAATGGGGCCCCTCTGTGTTGTCTTTGAAGCTAAGACCTGGACCTGTATGACACGGGGAGAGAAACTTGGCCTGGGCCTCGCTCCCTCCGTCTATCTGCTGCTCTCTAACCTCCAGAGACACTCGCAGATATTGAAATGATTATGTAGCAGCAGGTCTCTGTAGATATCCAGATGTTGATCTGATGATAAACCTGGGGAATGCATTTCACCTTCTTTTTGTTCCCCCTTCGAGCTTGTTTTGGTTGTATTTTTCTTCTTTTATTTTCTCTCGTGAAGCCAGGACAGGTCGTTGGCTGCAGATCAAAGTTGAGGTGGAGCGTGAGGGAGAAGATTCTTCTGTCTTCCAGAGTCATGAAGGAAAACAGAAAGAGTGGAGTGAAGAAAGAAGTAGATAGATAGCTGCTCTTTCCCTCTGCCTCATCTGTCCACTTTTGGTGGTAGTATTAACGGTAGCTGATGCACATCTTGTTACTGTCAGTAATTTGTAACTATTTAATCTTTAAAATCAATAGTTAACTCTTATTCTTAATGGTCCTTATCTTCTACCAAATGTTTGTGAACCCGCAGAATTTGCAGTTATATTCCAAATAGGTTTTTTCAGTTGTCTGCAAATCTAAAATATCATTTCTACCTGAATTATGTTCCTAGCAATATTTGTTGTTCTTGTATCAGAGTGATGATGTATGTATACCGCAAGACATACATACGAGAGATGGGTTGGTTCAAATCACTTATTTGACAAAGACCACAATCTTTCCCTAACTATAACCAAGTGCTGTGAGTGCTATTTCACTGCCCTGCGAAAACATACTTACAAGTAGTTAGTAGTAGTCTTATTCCTGTTATTTCTTGCACTTTATTCCTAGAAGTGCCAGTAATAAACTAACGAGACAATTCGATGCTTGTCATCATTTGATTAAAGAAAATTCACTTAACATGCCTCACAAGTGTTTAAATAACTCTACTAAACAATCCTAATAAGGGGTTTACATGTTAATATTGAATGAAGCGTTGACATTTCCGTTCTAATAATTGCTAGGTAGGACATTTGTACATACATTTTTTAAGTATTTTAATTCTGGAAACAACAATTAGGGATTCCTATCTCAGTTACATACAGTAGTTAGAATTTTGTTTCACTTCTTGCTATTACAAACTTTGAGAATAGTTGATAACTGATTTGTCAGACACATATTTAAAAGAAAATGAAGATCACTTCAGCAGCTAGTCTTTAAGGTCTGTGGCCTTTGTCCTGCGGCCTTTGTCCTGCCTCCAGTGACAGCCACCGTTTCATTATCCAGGAACATCGAGCAGCACCGTTTCCACTTTTAGAAAGAAAGACAGTATTGGGTTTCTGTGAGGGCTTTCCACAGAAGTTGGCGGGAAATGAAATGAACTCTGAGCCCCAATAACAAACAAGGTCAGTGAAAAAATAAAGAAAGACGCGATCACAAACAAAGATAGAGAGAAAAAAGAAACAGAAGAGTGGGATTTAAGGAAAAGAAAAACAGCGGTTGGTGTTTGGGTTGCTGCGTCGGCCGCTGACCTCATCGGAAATGACACCTCTCTTGCTTTCAAATTTTAGATGCAGCAGTGTAGATTACAGCACAATTTCCAAGTTGTGAATGCGTTGACAAGAGGGTGTTCGCACAGATGGGAAATATATTTGTATGCTTTTAGAAACATGTATCCATTAGATTTGATCATTCTTAACACGATAATCAAGTGGATCATATCAAATGTGGTGGAAGCACCCTCTTTTGGGGTTAAACTTAAATCAGCTGCAAGATGCTAAGACGAAAAGACCTGCATTCGGAGGTCAAACTATTTTCTAAAGTCATTTTCATTAGATTAAGTTTAAGTGGCCTATTTGATAATTATAGTCAATTTTCCTGGTCGACCGAGCAGCGCAATCATCCGCTGAGAGTAAACCTCTTGCCAGAGCAAATATTAAGGAATATCTACAGAATCAATAACACATCGGGGCAATATTATTCTTGACATAAATTACACGACCACTTACATTTCAGCTGGGGAGCTCAGAATAGTCTGATGGAAACCTGTAAGACACAAGATACCGGAAATAGTCCTAGCTTTTTTTGCTCCTTGCCGTATCATAATACCTCCGCCACAAATGTTTTTTTTCCAGTTAAATGTATTTTTTGTCTATCTACAGTAATTATGGTTACAACTAAAAGCCAGATTTTCATGAGACTTGGTTGAAGTGTGTATGAGTTAAAAAGAACCTTCCTCACTAGATCTTAAAAGTCTTCTGTCAAGTATCTGTAGTGTACCACCATGATAGGCTGGATGGCATTATTCTAGCTCTACAAAATGTGGTTGGTGTAGTCTTTTAAAACAAAAAAATGAACTTTTGGCCCAGCCTAGTCTGAATAAATCCTCATTTGAGACGAGACATGAGACAAATAGAGAGTCGTTCCAACTCATGCCTTTAATCTTCTATGTAAGGGGGGGCATCCATAAATCCTCCTCATTTCCCTCTCTTTCTATCCAGGAACTGCCATTCACTTCCTGTTTGCCTTTCTTTCCACCACATCAACTCTTTTTTTGTTCTTTTTTTCCAAGTTTAAACTTGTGCTTGCTATTATCTTGGAAATAACGACCATTGTCTTTTGTCACGTTATTATACAAAAAGGGTGCTTTCATTGCAAATTGCTGAGTTGTTCTCCACGTCTGTCAGCCGTGTGCTTGCTCTGGCAAAGACCAGTCCTTCCCTTGCTAATTGCCTTCTACCGATGACTAAATTACAATGAGGTTTTGGATTTCTGGATCAGAGGGGTCTCTTTTCCTCCTTCTCCACTTCCCCAACTGTATCCGTCCTGCCTGAGTCATAAGTGTCACATTTGGTTACAGAAGATATGAAGTGCAAGGATTTTTGCTAGAAAACAGTTTCCCCAACCTTGAAGGGCTACTGTTCCAACATTGCAATTAGAGCAGAAGCTGTATGTAAATGTGTGTGTATATGCAGTGTGTGTGTTTACCAGTGTGCATGCTTGCTTGCGTGCATGAGGGTCTAATTCGTAGTGAGCAGTAGGCTTTGTGCCACAGCAGAGGAGCGCAGTGAATGTGGTTCTGGAGCCAGTACAGTAAAAACATCTCACAAGCCATCAGTGTCAGAAACAATCTGCATGGTCCAAACCAGCTGCCACACTTCTCTAATGTGCAGAAACCTGCCTGCTGCGGCTTCTGTGGGATGCCAACACACTCTTGTTCATACCCCAATCATAAACCCCATCAAACCAGAAAAATCTTCTTTTTAAAGGAACCTCGCTATCTAATGAAATGTGTTGAGCTAAAGAAAATGCAGACTAAAGTCAAAGAAATTCTGAAAAATATAACCTAGAAATTATTAGCTAATTTAATAGTTTAAATGCTTTAACTTGACAAAACATTTAAATGCAGACTGTATGTATTTATTGCAATTACCTAACTATTGTTTGCTATTATCCTAATTCATCTTTTCCAATCATAGAAGATATGGGAATTGTTTTAGATTTTTGTAAATAATTATAGTTTCATTATTAAAACAATTAGATTTGTTTCCGCTTAATTTACTTAAAATGCCATTTTCTTCTAATTCAAATGGATAAAAAGGGAAAAGAGATATTTTAGGTGAATTATCCTGGTCGATCGGGTTTTAAAGATCAACTCACTGAGCAGATGGATGAAAAAGGACTGTGTGGATGTTTTTGATTTACATTTAGAGCATCATATTCCCGAGGGTTATAACTCATGATAGTGAGCATGAAACACTGCAAAGACTTCTTTATAAAGAGCAAAGATAACAGAAGTGATAAGAGTGATGCATATGCATGCGCACACTCACCATATTTGGTCCTTTTCATCCTTTCCTTCTCTTTAAAATGTGCTGCACTGTTTGGCCTCTTTGCTCCCCAGCACTTACTATAATGCACTCACTTTTCCCACAGTTTCACAAAGAAATGTATATTAAATGTGTGGGTGTACAGTTCCAATGAGTTGGAGAGGTCACAATAGAAAATAAATTGCTGATTATTGCTCATAAATCATATTCTGCAGCATTGAACTGCAGAGTTGGTGTCTCCACTCAGTGGTCTTGTCCTGGCCAAGTAATATGTACAGGTCATTTTTGTATTATATTGTGTAGTGTCCTGGGCCCTGGCACAAGCTTTTCTGCCATAAATCTGTTTCTATTAAGCTCATCTCTCCACATGCAGCTTCACGCTGCCTCTTCCAAAAATACCGCCTGAGCTGTGACAGATACATCGCCTGCTGCTGACTTCACACCGCATGTGTGAACAAAGCATCTAAACTAAGCAGACTTTAAAGCGTAGAACATGGGTAGATGAAAACAGCGGCAAATTATTTCCCCCCTGCCCTCACACACGGTGCTCTCACATTGAGGGGTTTATAAAAAAAAAGGTTAAGGTTTAAGAGTGTGCCATTTTAAAAATGGATGATGGGAGGGGAAAATAAAAAGAGCAAAGTAAATGTATCACAGGAATGAAGGAACTGGGCTGTGGGGTTTCAGATATATGGTTTTCAGCGGCTTCCTGCTCATTCCCTCTGGAAAAGATCACACACACACACACACATACACACACACATACGCACACACACACACACGCACACACACGCACACACATTTCTTTAAGTACACTTCCATCATCATTCCCTCTCATGCTGCTGTCTCTAAGGCCGGACGCAGGAAAGAAGTGCAATGTGTACCAAGGTGATTAGGGACCGCAGGTTCTGATTTGTCTTGGCTGAGACACTTTAAATATCTCTATGATTGCACGCTTTGACAACCTAGTCTCTGTTTGCATTATCGTTTTATAGAGCTGGATAATCATGCACTGCGCCTATAGTACACAACGTGGTGTGTTTGTCATTTTTCTAATCTGTACTTATCAAGGATTTTTTATATACTATGCACAGTACAGTTTGTCTTCCACTTTGTGGATTCAAGTCATCCTCTGTTTCATTCTCTATTTGGTCAGTGGGTCGGTTTCTGATTTCAACCTGCTTTGAAATCCTGAAATACTTTCAGTCAACTGAACAGTTGGGAAATAGTCTTTTTTAAGTGATGCACAAGTCAAGTGTTTTTAAAACCTCCACTGCATACTGCCAGTGTTTCCTCAGGGAACTCCGGTACTCACAGTAATCAGACCGGGCTATTAGGATGATTTTCATTGCAATGTGCTCTCGAGCCAAACCAGCCCCCCAACAGTGTTAACAGTAATTGGCAGGTTGTAAAAGAGCTACAAAAGGTCAGGCAGCTAAGTAGTGGAACTTCAATTCATTGTGAGTTTCCCCAGAATGGTGAAAAAGAGGAAGAGCGGGATGAAGATCTTTTTTATAGTTGAGATTTATTTATTTTCCGCTCCATCTCGTCACCCCTCCATTCCTCTTTGTCACTATATTAACTCGTGTTGCAGTTATTTCTTCTCTCCTTTCCTGTCTTCTCTCTTTGACTGCCCAACTGAAGCCTTTTTTCATGACTTATATATTTTATAGAGATATTTGTCTCACCAGTCTACCACTCACTAATGACATCTGCAGCAGGGAAGCCCCGGGTTTACCCGGGGGAAAAGGAAGACAGGAGGCGGAGGAGGGTCACAGCCCATTTCGGAGGAGTGGTAACTTAGTAATGGGGACTTGACAAAGGAATGTAGGGGGTGTGTGTGAAGGTCAAAGGTTTCCCACCTGCTTAGCATGGCCACAGTGCTAGGGTTGCTAATGAGCCTACAATAAAATGATGTCGAGTAGAGCTTAATTTAAGCATTTACTGCCCAGTGAGGTGAAGCCACAGCGTTTCTGTGGACGCAGCGTTTTTTGTCTGATCAGGAACATCCTGATGTATTTTTTCACACCATAGAAAACTTTTTCGACCAATGATAACATTTAAACTTAAAGAAGGATTGTAAGTATATTTGGAATTGTGTGGTATTTATGTTTAGAGATTAACAGATTTGGAGAATCATTTTAACACAAAAGTAAGGTTGACAAAATAATCTTTCAGTCTACTCAGTAGCTGTTTGAAAGATTTCAAAGTTTTGGCCTTATCTCCTTCACCAGATCAATTCTCATTTATACATTTTCTGTGCGGTTTTCAATATTTTGTTGTCAATCTGGGCTCGAATTAATAGAATTAACAGCATATCTTGATTTTTAAGACAACATGGTTGAGAAGTTCTTAAATTGCTACGAAGTGAACTTTTAAACATTCAAGCACCGCCTTGCCTAGAGGAAGATCATTTGAGTTGATACAAAGCTCTAGGAAGGATAGTAAGTTTACATATGATTGGAAAACATAGAGCTGAAAGTGAGACATTTCCAGAAAACTTCCTGTATCAGTAATTTCCTTCATATTTTTGACACTTCCGAGAAGAATGAGTCTAGATCAGTTATTACGCTTTATTTGGGAGTGGAAACCATAAATGTTCACGCAGTACAACGAAATCCAGCAGAGCATTCCGATCTCATCCCTAATCCAAGACTCATCTGCTTATCCTCAAGGCTGAGTCAGTTCAATATGGGAAAACTTTCCAAAGCAAGGTAGGGAGCGCCTCCTCCCACAGGGCTCTTCTTCACATACTGCTGGTTCGAAAAAACAAAAACAAAACAAGCAAAAAGGATGATCCATACTGATGGTTGATAAAGGTATCCAGTGTCTTCACGAATGAGGAAACGCTCTCCGCCTTTTTCCTGCCTGAAGGGCCAAATTAACTCATCTAATCTTCTAATCATCTAATCTTCAAACACTGTTTATTTTCTCAGCTCACGGCCGCCAATCAGTGTTGGCCGACTGCATTCTGCTATAATACAACGGGTTTAAAATCTTTAGTTTACATTGTCGGAGCAGAGTGATTGCCTTAATTGCAGAGGCTGTGGGATTAGTATGAATCACAGTTATGGAGGAGCGTGAGTTAGCCCAGTGTGAGCTTTGTCTCATTGTCTAACACTGACAGCAGCGGCCCATCCCTGTCAGCCTGGAGGCCAGCAACGCTCAAGACGACCTGCGAGGAGTTATGTGAACCCTAAACACTATGGATCTGCTAGTCCCATAGAAACCAAACTCGCCGAGTAAATAGACTGGAGGTGATGTTTGACATGAGCAGGGAGAGCCCTTGTTTAGGGAAGATTGGGAGATCTGTCTCGCGTGTTTCCGATGCGCGTCCTCTCCGTGTTTGTGGATGTGTGAAGCTCTAGGCAGAGGAGACAGGCTTAGGTAATGGCTGGATGTAAAACAATAGAG